TCGCGATGAAATGCTACCCCGAGCCCGCCACCTTGCATAGCGTGCGCGGTCAAGATCGAAGCATGACACTACCGTATGATCTATGCTGCTAGAGAAGCGATTCTGAAGCTGTGGTCTGAGCGACAGAGTGATGCTTGCTTGATTGGCCCCTCTTCGCTCGAGCTCGATCCCTCCCGGTGCCAATTACGAAACGTCTCACGCTGACTAGCGATCCCTGTAGTCTAGATCAAAACGGCTCAAGCAGGCCTCCGGCATGTGCTGGCTGGGCTGGGCTGGGCTGGGCTGGGCTGTGCGCATAAGTGCAGACAAACTCTACTACTAGACTAGCGCGAGTGGTGCACTCCAAGCTGATTGGAGACACGAGCATCGCCACCATTCTCGTCCTCCTTCCTGCTTGATTGCCGTTGGCGCAGCCAGGCTGGCAAAAATCAGACCGCTTACTGAAAGCAAGTCTAGTAGTCGTAGTAGCCAAAGGTAGCCGCAACGCAGACCGAAACGCGGGCCTGCACAACACATCTGCAGCGAGTCAAGCAGCCGTCACTCACCATTTCCATTTCCCCCATTGCCACCATTGCCTCCTCCTCCCGTAGGTCCGTCAGTGCTCGTATCCATCTTGTCGGGTAGGCTCGGATGACTCAGACAACGCCCGTGAGCTTCTCGTGTGGGGCTAGCTATCAATAAGCTCTTTGCTGGCCAGGCCTAGATTCAACACCGGCTCGAACCTTTTCTGCGCTGGCGTGATCCAGGCCGGTAGGAGTGCACACGTGAGGCGCGGTATTGCACTTGCGCAAAAAGGAAATAAAAGGAGATAAGAAGGAGAGGAAGGCTGGAATCACCAGCACCAGCACCGAGATGGGGAATCGAGAGCGGGAAGCGAAGGATGGAATCAAAATGCGAAGCGCAATCACGACCGACAGACAAACACACCTCCGCCTACTTGCTGCTCCTCCTCTCGATCGAACTGGCCTTTTTCCGTCTTTCTGTCGCACACCCCGAGCTGCTCGCTTGCGTTTGTCTTTTGCTGTTGCGGTGCCGTCAATGCGATCGATCTACTTCGCCTGCACACGTCCTGTGCGGCGCGGTAAGGTGCGGCGCGGTACGCTGCCGGTACTCATCATGACTACTGCTACTACTACAGTATTCTTTCGCGCCTTGAGGTCCGCAAATCTGTCCGCCGAACGACCGCTTGCGATCTCAGCTGCTGGTCCAACGGAGCTTGAAAGGGGTCAGGCGCATCAGTTGTCTGATGGCACAGCAGCAGTGTCGTGAGCGCTCGCTCGACGGCTGCTGCATGGCCACTTCCCAAGCGCCATCTCTTGCTATGCATGTGCATACAGGCAGCATATGGCTGGCTGCACGCCCTGAGCAGCGCATAAACACAGCGAGCGCGTCACCCTTGGTAGGGGCCCACCCTCTGCGACAAGCAGGCTGCCTGCTGCTCAGCAGTCTTGAGTCACGAGCGGTATAGTGGTGAGTATATATACAGTACACCTATACGCGCGGTGAGCATAATGACGACTCGCACGCATCGAGGCCGAGGGGACCTCTCCTGCTAACTCCTGCATCGAGTTGCTCCCAACTCCAGTCATTGCGCCGGCTGGCATGCTCGTCGATCCGGACAGAACTCCCTGGCCTGACTCACACTACTACTACTGTAGCGTGGTCAGGACTATCTCTCTAGCGGCCCAGCCTCATCTGCGGGACTCGAATCGCCTGTCATGCTCGCCAATCACTTGCGTGACGGCTTGAACGACGGAAGCTGCGGTGCCATGCACAGCATCAAGAGGCGCCAAGGTCGGTCGGCTCATGTCCGCTTCGCGCCGGTCCGCAGCTCTGCATTTGTGCATCTGTGCGGGCTACACACGAGGCATCACGTACCGGGTATCGGGCACACTCACGACTCGTGACTGACGGAGCGCAATGATCACGGCATCTGCTGAGGCTCGACTTTGTGAAGATAGCCTTGTAGCAAGCAAGAAGCTGACCTCTGTTCGGTATCATTTCAGACTGTCGCAAAAACGCGCCGCCACGACGCAGGCAATGCGCAACTCCGATTCGACGGTCCGGACGAGCGGTAAAGAATGTGTGCAGAGCCACGCCAGCAGAGACCGACAACCATGCACGAATGTGCTGACCTCCAGCGAGGAGCTGCTTCATTCGTGAATAAGGAAAGCCATTCAGAATCGACGGTCCACATGTGGGACGACCATTGTGGCTCTTCCGAAGCTCCAGGCGCCATTGCGATCTGTGTGTCTCCGAGGAGGTGTCACCTGGCGCTATAGACTTGTGCTGAGCGTCGATCGGGAAAGTTTGACATTCAGAGCTCGAACAAGCTGCAGGTGTAGGATCCAAATCACGAAAGTTCCCTGTCCTCGCTCGGCGCCGGCGGATACCGCAGTCTGGGGCCGTTCTACAATGAGAACGCTCCCGAGGCTTACCATATCGCATGACTGCCGGCGCAGACACCTTGACGAGCTGCCACTTACCATCAGCTTGCGGCGAGCTCCTTGAGGGTAAACAGAGTACAAGACAGTCCATTCAAGCCGTGCTGGGCTTCTCCACTCACAACGTCGATTCGCAGTGCAACGCACCAGGATGTAGCTCGTCTGGGTCATGCGGATTTTGACACAGGCAGCAAAGAACACTCCGATACAGTAGCTCGTAGCAGTGATCTGTACTGGCCGCTCGGCGCCATCCACTTGCGAAAATTCCAGAGGGGGCAGCGCCAAGCTGAGCTGACCTAAGTGGCGGAAATCGCCAACGATCGCGCGTATTTGCGCTTGTCAATCAACGCCAGAGTGTCGGCTCTCCAGCTATTGCTCAAGGAAGGGCCAGATAGCGTCCAAGCGGCTCAATGAGCATTAGAGAGCGACAGTGCGCACAGCTCTAGCCGTTGATCCTCGCCCTTGAGTGCGCCCTCATCATTGCAGCCGCCTCCCGCTCTTGCGCCATTACATCCACCGCCTTGACGCGCTTCGGGGCAAGTCTGGCCGACACCCGCAATGTCTTTTCACCTACATGGACGCCACTCGATTTTGCCACCGACAAGCTTCCCCATCAAAGTCAGACCAGGTTCCTTGCTTTTCGCTTCTCTTTTGAGAAGACTTGGACCAGCGATCAGGCCAAAACCCGTAGTGGAAAATTACGCGACCACCTTCCGAGCTTCCATCATTCATCTTGACGCATTGATGCGCTGGACGCGTCGCTCTCTCCAGAATTTTCCGTCACCTTTGGCCGGCCCCAGCTTTTTTCACCTATTTCGACCTATTTCGACCTATTTCGAGCAGTACCTGAGTGCAAGTCTCTTGCGACGAGGTCGGACGTCCCGACGCTGAGGATGGCAGTCCAGAGGATCGTGTTTGCCTGTCTCTGCCTCGTGCGACTCCTGGCTTCGGTCACGTCTACTTGCATCGATCAGCGACTTGGCTCGTCGAGTCATTGCTCACACTCACGCAGGGACCTGGTCGTCGATGCAGAGTTGCTGCGAATACAGGCCAGGTTCGAGGCCGGCAATTTGTCGAGGCTTGAGCGAAGACTGGGTCCCGGAAAAGTGCTTGAGGGCGCCTCGTCCGCAGCACGCGGTGTCGAAGGCGGATCGCAAACCATACGTGGTACCACATCAGAAGCACAGCAGCTCTCAGCAGCAGCAATCGAGAGTGGAGTCGAGCCGTTGGGAGGCGGCGTTACTAGACTGGTGTCCCATCACCCTCGGCTCGGAATGAATCGCGTTGAGAGAATGCAATGGGTGCAACGCCACGCCCTTCGTACTCAACAACTCGCTCAGAACCGGGCTTGGCGTGAGCGTCTCCACGGTCTTTTGCCTGGAACTACGAATGCTCCAGCGTCCCAGGCTGTAGACCACGCAGACGACCTGGACAATTTGATCAGCGCTGCCAGAACACCCAGACATCTCGAATTGCAGACGTCGCCCTCGGCGATTGCTACCTCATCTTCGCGCAGAGTCGCCCACGGGCCTCGCGCTTCTCCGTATCGCCTTTTCAATCCTGAAGAGACTCTAGCAGCAGCGCGTGCTCGCGTTTCGAGAGGACGTAACGTGTACGGAAGATACCAAGACGCGCACGTGGCAAGATCGGCCGCAAGATTGAGAGCTTTCCGAGAGTCGCATATGGCGGCGTCGTCCGACGAGCCCACACGCAAGCCTGCTAGTCCAGATGTCAGTCATTCATTCAAGGGCGGACCCTCAACACCTCGGACGGACCAGAATGCGATCGGTTCAGGAATGGTTGCCAGCTGGAGAGCTGGACGGCGAAAGGATCCACCAGGTGTCAGCATCAGATCTGCAAGTACCATTCCCACCACAGCGAGTACTCACGTAACAGACTCTCAGCATACTGAAGAAGCACGAAAACATGGGATGTCAGCTAGTATAGGCGGAGAGGAGCAACAGAAGGCTGTTAGACGCGTCGCGCAAGCAGGACCGTCGAGCGCTATACCTACAAGCCAGAGCTATTCGCCACTACGTGCACCTGGAGAGCCTTCCGAGCGCAGACCTACCAGTCCGCACCGCCACAATCAGGACCAAGTTGCGGCAGGCGGCTCCGAGTTCACCCCGTGGCAAGATAAGCACGTCGTATGGGAGCAGATGCGTCCCTCGAGCCCTTTGCCACAAGCGTTCTCCTCATTTCGACCGGACTCGCCTGACATATTGCGAGACTTTCGCGAGCACATGAATAGAAGTGGACCGCGAGGATACGGCCGCCCAAGGCATTTGGGCAGACGTGGCTTGCTCGCTAAGCGTGGGTCAACGGCTTCCGAAAAACTTTTGGAGAAGCTGTTGAATGCTGCGGGAAAGGGGAGAAGCGAAGCAGGCTCTGCTGCTCCTCCGGCATCCGTACTCTTCCCTCAAGACCGGGACGTGCTCGCACACGTCAGGGCTAGACGCATGCGAGGCATTGTGCTACGGTCCAAGGCACCAACGACTACAGAGAGCACTACGATGACCACTCACGCTGCTCACCCTGCCCAGTCAGATCCCTCGCTTTTCGCTACCAACCATCCCGACCGGGGCCCTGCCATCCTCGCGGTCGAGCTCGAGGCAAAATTGATCAGAGAAACGGGGCGCAACAGCGCAGACGTCATCAAAGCGAAGCGCCGATTGAGTGGAATATTCTCAGATGCACATACACCACACAAGCTCCGCATCCTCAGCAGCTCTTCAAGTGCATCCAAGCTGGAACCCAAACAAGGCCACCAAAAGACTGCTATAAATCATGCGACATCGAGTCTGCAGCCCCGATCTGTGGTCGCGGTGAGCCAGCTTTCAGCAGCGGCTTCTTCACATGCAACGACGGCTGAAAGGCGCATCGAAGCGCGCGGACTGGGATCTTCCGAAATCGAGGAAGTGATCAGATTGAACAAGATGATGGAAGCGATGGGGACAGAGGAACGTGCTAGTCCTGCAGTCGCTGCGCATCTGCACAAGCTGGTGCACGGCAGCGCATCAACCTACAAAGCCCCGCATTGGGAGCGTCGGAAGTTCGATCTGCCGCATTCCATATCACTGCCTGCAAACAAAGCGTCCACTATGGATTTGCAAAAGTCGGTGTCGAGTCAGTCGAGCAGCAACACCTTTGCGAGTTCTGCATCCATCAGGATTATGGCAAATGGCGAAAAGTCGAGCCCGAGCTTCACCGCTCCGACGCCCGGCTCATCCAGGGGGCCAAGCTTGTTGAGCTCGGGGGAGAATAGCAAAGACAGCATTACAGCTCATAAGAGTCGAAGAAGCGCTAGTCTTTCAGAGTCGTCGGTGTCGTTGCCGCTGAAAAAAGCACCGTCGATTGAAGAAAAGGGCAAGAATGTCAAAGCGGAGCCTTTTGTCAAGCCGTCGTACAGCAATGGGGCGCACGATTGGCATCGTGATCCTCAACCTAGTTGGTACGCTGAGCAAGGTTGGCACAAGCTCGCGAGCAAAATGGAGGACACCGGAGAGCACCATACGGTTTCAGCTGCTCCGCGTGCACGTACACGCGCATCGGATCATTCGCCGATCGGGCAAGTCCACAGCAGCGTCTGGTTCCTAGAAGATGGTACCCAGTATTGGCGTGGGATCGACTTCAAGCGTGATCCGACGAAGGGAAAAGGCACTGCTTCTGCAATCCGTGGACGCGTGGGAACGAAGCTCAGCAGTACTTGGAAATCAATCACGTCAGGTCTCGAAAGGCTAAGTGGTAGTTCTGCCGCACGAGCCAATCGGTTCCACGATCAAAGGCACATTGAAGGGAGGCACAAAGACATCATCTAAGATGCTGATCTTTTTGCGGGAAACCAGACTCGTGGCGTATGAAATCGGCACCAGACGAAGCCGAGCAGGCTACGGCAGCAGAGTTTCTCGCAACAAACCATCGAATGGGTATGCATCTTTTCAGAGTCTCAGCAGACCACGCTTGGGAACGTGCGTTCGAGAGGATCCTGGCAGCGCCTGTCTCTGTAGTGTGCCGTCCGAACCATCGTGAATGTCAGACCGACCTACTATCTCAGCTGCTAGGAACAATGCAGAATCGCCAAGACTTTGCGATTGTCTCTCAGGGGCAAAGTGCTCCACGTGCGCTTGTCGCGTTGCTGTGGAAGACCTGTCCGGCCCTCCACGCGGACTGACGAAAGAGTGGCCAGAGGGACTGCCAAATCCAGGCTGCGTGCCCATCTGGTCGTTCCGCATTCCTT